AGCTTCTTGGGGCTTACAACAATCTTGTCCAGCAAGCACCCTTGTGAGGAAAGGGCAAAAGCAACCTCACCCAAAAGGAATTATTTTTTTCTGTAGATGATGGATCACAGCTAAAATGCATCACAGCAAAAAAGTTTTCAGATTAGTTCAATAAATTATTAAGATATTAATAGATCTTTAATAATCTTAAAGCTCTGACCTATTTTCATTTTTTTAAGCTATCAACCAGTTCAGATATCATTTCTCTTTATCTGCCAACTGGCAAGACTTTGAAAATAGGACTTGATCAGTCAGATTTTGCTGAAGTCAGTAGAGGCCTTTTCTGACTTCATTGGTGGGACAGCAAAATGCATCTAGCAGTTTTACAACTTGTGGTTTGGTAAAAATGCTGAACTCTAACACCTTGGCTGCTTAAATTTATTATCAATAACATCATTATTATTACTTGGTAATAATTTCTAGTCACTCCAACTCACTGTGCAAACCTCTGTGCTTGCATTGAGGTCTTTTGGTCCTCCACACGAGCCAGGCACCTCTGAGGGATCAGAGCCACATTTCCTAATTCCAGGCAGGCTGGTTAGTCCCCTGGTTTGCCTTCTTGACATTTCTTTCCGCTATTCTGACATTTCAAAAACACTACCAGTCATGAAAACAATGTGAGAACAGAATCGAAGTCCTTAACTCAAAGACATAGGTGTTAACCACTGACCTCCGAAATGCCAATTTATAAATTTAGTTACCATCATACATCAGAGCTACAAAGAATAAGGATGTATTGGCACCCCAAAGAAAAACTGAATTTTTTTGGAAGTATGTTAGCATTGAAGAAGTCCCCTATTAATACAATATTCACCATCTCTATTAGTCACTAATATACAATATATTTAATATAAAACATATCACTTTAACAGGCTTTAAAAAGCTAGTGATCAAAAGAATTGTTTTTATTAAATAATCTTTGCAAGAAGAAAGCACAATTAAATTGGAAAGTACGTTTTCTTCCTGCATTTTTAGGACTTTTATATTCTTTCAAGGTTAGAAAGGTCAAAACCACTATAAGCAAGCAATAAAAATTTAGAAGGGGTTGAAGGTTACACACTGGTTAGTGGTGAAGGTTCTTCCACTAATATCACTGGTTAACAGTACTGTTATAACCGCAATGTGGAATGCATGGTGCTGCATTTAAAGGAAGTGGTAAGGGTGGGGCAACAGCACTAGGTCCCACGATCAAAGCACTAGAGCATTGAATTTTACTTATAACCCAATCACTGACACCCACACAGCAACTTCCTGTACTTTAAAAAAAAAAGAAAAAAAGAAAAAAAAAGAGAAAAAAGAGAAAAAAAAATCTGTTTCTCTCGTTTTGTAATCAACAACTTTTACCTAGAAGCTAGTTAGCGGTGAGCTGACTGATTCTAATCTGCAGCTCATGGCAGAAAACATAACTGTTAACCTGTGAGAACCTACATAAACCATTTTAACTGACAGGTTTCAGTGTATCAGCTCTTTCAAGTGTTTTATTCTTAATTACACGAAAAGTCCTACAAAATCCAAGAACGAGTATAAGAAATGTAAAGCGACCAGAAACTCAGTAGTGCACTACTGGTAATCCTCTACGACAGAAAATAAAATGTACTTCTACATCTACAAAAGTTACTCGAATTTAGATCCCTGTCACGGAGCACCTTTGTTTCAAGCATGTCAATATACACTACCATTAATTTGTTAAAATAAGTAGTTAATAATGTCCTGTTTTCCATTTATCATAGCCCATTATGCAAAGCACAGGCCTGTTTATATCTGGATCATTTCTGATGCTTTTTGAGCATTGTTCAAGACAAGCATCAATAAATAGAGAAAACCTTCCACTTCTCTCCAAAGAAAGCTTCAAGTTCTCCAGTACCACCTGGTGAACATCAAATTACTGCAGCCACGTCCCGGAGGAGCTGTAGGAAACCTAACGTCCATTAGGAACTTCACAGACTAAGAATGCATTCCAGAAGAGAAAGAACATGCACATACTCCCTTGGGGATTTTTATTACAACAGTCTAGTCAGAAGAGCTAAAGAGCTTTTTCTCAGCTGATCTTCCTCAATCTAAAAAGACAATCTTAACCCAGGTAAAGGACAGAGATACTGATCTTTCAAATTTTTGCATGTAACAGGTATGTTGGAGCTTTGATGCACATTAGTATCCAGGTTTGCTGCTTCTGAAACACCTTCTCCTTGACATTCTCTATTTTTATTCACTGAATTATTAGTCTTCCTCCAATTCTCTTTAAAGATTCTGCACTTTACCTTAATCAGAAAAACAAACATGAAATTCCTCTTGGACCAAAGAAAGATCAGTTTAAGACTCTGTAACATCTGAAAGACCTTGAAAGACTTTGGTTCAAAAAGGTATGAGAAAGAAGAAAAACTATGAAGAACAGAACAAGTGTAACCCTGAGATTCAGCCTAAGATACAACTTTAAATAATCTCTTGATTGTCATACCCCCTCTTAACCTTAGTTTTCGAGAAGGGAAAGATACGGATCTCAAGGGTGTCTGATCCATGCCACACAGTAAGTGTTTGCCTCTCCTTGCCAGACAGCAACAACCACAGAGGGCTGTGAGCTGCACTATCGGCTCATACCCGCAGCAGATCACAGCTGCTTCTCAACATCCAAGCTTTGAAACAAACCGAACACCAAATCAAACACTAAATCCAAACACTAAATCCAAACAAACCAACCAAATCAACCTTTTACAGGTTTTCCAGGTATATCTGAAGGCCTTTTCACCTGACCTTGACTAAACGGTGAACAGAGGCTATCTCTGAAGTGTTTCCCTGGCTCTGTGTTCAGTTCCAAAGGTTTGCTTTGTCTTTGAAGAAACAAGAGCTGATGCTCAGCTCCTCATGCATCTGGAAAAAACACAGACCCGTAGGCACCAAGGGAGCAGTGGCACATTTGAATCACACCCTGATCATCCAGGACACCCCACAATGGATTGATCAGACAATGCTTGCAAGTCACAGAAGTCCTAAAAAACTTTCCCTGTAGAAAAGCACTGAATCGGGAACAATCCCTGGTGGATTTTGCTGGTTTCCCCTATCAACAGCTACTGGGGAAATCAGAGAGCTTTCAATGCTCTGCAAAATTATTTTAGTGTTTTCTACTTGAGTGTTGAGCAAGTAAAGCTTTATATTAGATCTTCATTGCACCTGCCTAACAAAATGCAAGCAAACCATACAGGTGCTTTTCAATATTAAAAATCCCCCTTAAAAGAAAGTTTTGCTAAAAAGAGAAGAAATTGGGAACACAAAGGTAAACTACAGATTTGTCTGGTAATAACGAGCATTTATTCATCCTTCAGCAAGATCTTTATCACCTACTTGTTTTTTAATTAAACAGACCAATGAGAAAGGTAAGAAACAACGGAAGTTTCTTGTTTGTTTTCTGAGCAGCGTTCCCATTTCTAACACTTGTACGCCTGTATCTCTTGCCAGAATCACAGTATATTACTATATAATTTCTCATACTTTAAGTAACCACTGAAGATTGCCTTAGTTGTGGAAGGAAGGGAGGAGTGTAACTGCATAAGCACATGAGGCTCGTTTGCTTTAAAAAAACCTCTGCTTTGTTTCCTCCATAGTCTGTTTTATCATAACAACACTTGCTTTTGGTAGAGCAGCGGAACCTGACAAATATTGTTGTCTCTCAAGAAGAGGGGAAGGTACACATTTAAACAATTTTTTTAAAAGACTGAATGCACCTGTCTAAATTCAAAACACATTACTGAAGGTCAATGTTCTCCAAAATTCCTCAATATGTACAAAAGAGGGAAGAGAGAGCCCTAAATAAAAACAACAAAACATGAAGATGAGCCAGCCCTACAGCATGTATTTCTCATCTTTGCTGCTACTATCACACTGTATTTGCTAGGAGTAACAATGTTTCGAAGAATAAATAAAAAGAAACCACACGAAAGAGATATATAGGTATATTTAGTATTTGTTTGACTCATTCAACTTTACAGGCCCAGTGAATACTAAATAATTTTATCAAAGTTTCATCAATACCCACCTACACAGAACCGTATCATTTGATCTCAGGGTTTTCATCATCTCTTGAGCAATAAAATCACAGTAATAGGAACAAACTAATGTTGTTGCAATGGCCTGCTTATAAGTCTACTGTATCAAAGAGTATTTTCCAAACCTTGGATCAATCTATGGTATAGTTAATGGCATCTTCAGGATACCCCAGTAATAAAAAGCACTCTTCAGGTTGTTCAAGGAGCAAGTTCTAGCATAACTGGTTTGCAAAACCAGGCAGATCAGCAATGCCTGTTAAAAACAGGATGGGTGTAGGGTGCATGCTACAAAATGTAACAGCAGAAAGACAGACAATCCCCACATTTAGACAGGGAGACATTAATAATGTATCTGTTTTCTTTGTAATATACTTCCTAACACTGTCAGTGGATAAATGAGAACACCAGATGTTGACCCACATGTTTGGTGCAAAATTATGTGCCTATTAATAATTTTTTTTTGAGCCAACTAAATGTTCACTGCTAGTACGAACTGAATTATACCACTGTTGGTACAAGGAGACTTGCAACTAACAGCTCTAAGTGGCTTCGGTTCTTTAAACAGTTTCACTGGTATCTGAGTATTCTGAAAATCAACTCCAGGGAGGTTGAACAAGTAGAAACTGAATCTCCATTGAGACAGATTTATTTTCAATTCAGGAGCTTTATACATCCCTAAATTTCCATACATAATGGACATACACATACAGATGTGTCACACCACTTCCTAATCATCTCTTTTCTAGTTTGAAATGTTCCAGTCTGGTTTCCTGACAATTTCTGCCAATTTATTGGTAATCTCATACCTTCCTCCATGGTTGAAATATCAGCTAATGAGATAGAAGACTGTCAACTTGTCCTTATGTCCAACAATATACAGAAAAAAGGAGAAAACTGGCTGTTAAAAAAAGAAAACCTCCTTACCACTGGGTGGCTTGGGTCGTGGAGGGACATTTTTCTTCGGTGGTAACGCTGGTGTGTCTGATTTGCTTTTGAAAAGGTCCTCTGAGAATCCCACCCCTCCAAAAGAGGAGGCGAAGGGGTCTGAAGGTACTGACTACATGAGAAGAAAGGAAAAGAAAGATAATGTAAGCATATTGTAGAATATATGTGTATAACGAAAGCTGCAAGTTAACTCAAGTAAAAGAATTAACTTCAAAAAAACGAGGACAGGTTTACAGAATTATGTCAGTGGTGTAAGAGGCTAACACCCACTGACAGAGGTGCTAGGATTTCATTAACATTCAAAATTATTTCTGCTCTTAATCGCTGACGTACTCTAGAACTTTTAGTCCTAGCAAAAAGCTGATGAAAAAAATAAAAGGAAGTAAAACTCCACTTTTTACAATTCCGCAATGAACCAATATGGTTGCATTATAGTCTGGCCTTCGCTCTGATAAACAGAACCATGATAGGAACTGGACTGCAGAATGGACAGCTTCTTAAAGTTACACACAGCTGTTTGGTTGGTGCGTTGTTGGTTGGTTTCTGGTTTTTTTTTTGAGGGGTGGGAAGGTCGGTTTGTTTTGGGGTGGTCTTTGGTTTTTTTGTTTGTTTGTTTGTAAAAGCTCAGCGAAAATTCCAAACTCATATTTTTTTATGTTTCCTATATTCAGCTGGCTCTTGTGAAGGACTGTCATTTTTGGTTTAAAAAGACACCAAAAATTAAACCACGCAGGGAAATTTATCATCCTGAAATGAAGAAAGAGGAATTTTGTAGGCAAAGCTAAAGCTCACAGTCGGACCTTTGCTAAAGGAGCTTCGCTGAAACTTCAAACTCAAGCCAAACACACTGTTATTTGTACGGACTGTTGCCACCTAGCGGAGAGCTGAAACCCCACAAAAAACAGCAAGAAAAGTTAGAAAAAAATACAAGGTTCATTAGTCAAAGCGACAGGATAATCTATTTTCTAGTTAAAATTTACCCTGCAGTGTTATTGTAGAAATAAAGGTAAAAAGTTGGACAACTGATGTCAACTGTAAATTACAAATATCATCTCGGAAAGGTAATAGCAGGCGGTGACTGATCCAGCTGAGGAGGTAAGGACCTAGCTCTATTTGAAATATCCTATATAATCTGTTTATACCAAGAAACTAAGGAAACGGTAATCCTGTTGAGAGCTATGAAATGTCTGCACACTGTGTTTTCCACCTTCCTCTGGTTCCCTGTACTCATGGAGAAGTTTAACAAGTCAGGATACTATGAGATATGAAGTATCCAAGCAGCACACTTCAGGACTTAGAGGAGGGCTGGACACTGAAATATAAAAATATCTGGAACAACTACCTTTTATTACCAGTAAAAACTAGAAGTTGTTTCTTTTGCTCCTCTGGTATTTGAAAAACGTTTATGAAAAGTTGATTTATTCTTGCTGAATCTACCCATCTTGGTAAGACTTTGCCATGTCTGAGATAGATGGAAAATGCTTTGCTAAGTAACTGGTGAGGTCAATTGGAAAAAATTAGAAGTGTGTTGTCAGCTGAAAAGTTGCAATCATCTCACAACCCTAGAAAATATATCTGTACATAAATTTTTAAAAGGACAGTCGCTTTCCTTGTAACCTTTACCTTTGACATCTGACTGAAGTCTGCAAATCCCTCACCACTACTGAAAGAACCACTTCCAAATGGATCCAGTGTTCCAAATGGATCTGAAACAGATACAGGCAAAATAATAATTAAAATAATACTTAAGAATTATGAAGAATGCTTGGTGTCAATGAAGTACAAAACTAGGTGGGTGATTAAAACACTTGCATTTTGAGCTGGCATGAGATATTAAAAGAAAATTCTACAAAACAATAGGTTTTCTACCAGAATGGGGGGGGGGAGAAAAGAAAAACGTGAAGCATATAGCGTACGCAAAGACTTAATCTTCATAATCCATAATAGGATCACAATTGTATTTGCCAACAGTCCACAGGAGTCTTTATTCTATATTTTTAAATTTGACTCTTCTTTCATAAAGAGATACCTTCTTATTCACCTTAATGAGAAATTTTTTTCTTCTTACCTGGACCTTTGGAAGAGATACTGGAAGACGTAAAAGGATCACTGCTTTCAAAAGGGTCAGGCTAAATAAGAACAGATATACAGAATTATTGTTCTGCTGTACCATGCACTTGTCTTTATGTCTATCAAAATCTCTTGCTTAACACATTTCCAGTTTCAGACCACTCTGTCCAGTGGACTCACAGTATGATAAAATCGACTGCTTATATGAAGTTTGCATTATTAGTCCATTTGGCTATTGAAAGCATTGAATAAAATACCAAGTACCTACAAACAAAACACATTCAAGGGAAAAGTGTATCACACTGAAATAAAAGCAATATTAATTACCAGGGCAAAGTAAGGAATTACACACAGAAATTACCAACAGAGAGAGGAAAGAAAAAATCCACCTAACTGCATTTTCATGGTGAATATACATCATTATTGTGGAACTGGAAAGAATAAACTGCTGATTGCCTTAACAATCCATACTTAATTTTAAGAATAAAATTAATCATAAATGATCAATTAGGAGGAAAGTATCTAGTGATATTTCATTCCTTTTAGCTTTCAGACAATAATCTTGTCAATAGTAAAGAAATCTGTTAAGTGTAGGTTTTAAAATTACTGACCTTCGTGGGTAACGCAGGGGGCTTTGTGAATGGATCTGAGGTAAATGGGTCACTCTTCACCGGTTTCTTGAAGAAATCTTCAGGAGCAGAACTACGAAATGGGTCACTTTCCTTAAATGGATCACCTCCAAATGGATCTAGGAGGAGTATTAAAAGGTAAACAGAATGTAGTACCTAGTGTGTCCATAAAGAACCAGTCTATGTTAGACCTCATACTCATTGATGTAATTTTTCTTATAAAAACACAGAACGATTTGGTAAATTCGATAAGCTTCCAGATACAGGATATTAACTAGGTTTGACCAAGTACATGTTTATATTAAGGTTAAGGACTTTAATAACGAGTTACACACACTATTAGCATACTGATCCTGAATGCACACCTTGTCAGGTTTTTAAGTTCCCACATGCAAACTACAAATTTGAAGCCAAGAAAATGTTGGAAAACTTTGTATTTGGCTACAGATTGTTCACATTACATCTGTCCTGTCATCAAAAGGGCTATTACCTGCTGGTGCAGGCGGTTGTTCTGCAAAAGGATCATGCTGGAATGGGTCACCTATGCAGAATAGAAAAATAATTTGTTTTATCCACTCTTCAGCAACATGACAAAAGTTTGTGAAAATACCATTTACTCAACAACTGGTCTTCAAGCTCTCAGGTAAGCCACTGGTCACTTACTGCCTTTGAAAGGGTCTGCTCCTTTAAATGGATCAGACTTGAAAGGATCTTCTGACTGGAATGGGTCCGTATGCAATTCTTGTGTATTATTGGTAAACATCAAGGCTTTATTCTTAAATGGATCATCCTAAAAATTAAGAGGAGAAACATTATAGCAACTTACTATGATTAAAATGCTCAGTTACCCATTTAGCAGAAATTCTATGGTATCTTGGTTCTGCTGATTACTTCCTCAACAACTTTCTGAATAAGTGGCTTCTAAACAGAATTAATTTCACAGTAGAAAGAAATGTTCTGTGTAACCCTGAGCTACACATCAAAAGGTAACAAAACATATAATAATAAAAGGTTAAACTCTTTCTTATATTAATACATTCAATTATCAAATACTTAAATAACAACACGTAACAAAACTCCCAACCATAAGGCTATCAAAAATTCTCCCCTCCCAGATGTTTTACAGCTCAGCTTCAGGTGAGACAGTTATTTAAAAGGAAAGGATACACAAATCGTTTGTGTACTACAAATACAGAACATTACTATTGAGTAGTCATACTCAAGACTGCTTCTTGTTAACTCAATTCTTGAAGCTCTAAGCTCAAGAATGATTTTGCCTTACAAAGCACTACAGGGCAGGAAGAGCATCACACCAACATTTTGACGATTAGGTGCAAGTTACAAACCTAATTATTATAAAATACACTAAACATCAGGATTTTTTTTTTTACCATAGTTCCGTAATTGCTTCTTTCTGTCTGCCCAAGGCCTTCACTAATGTCTGCTAAATTCGTCAGACTACCGCCGTGAACCCCGTTGAGAGCTTCATTATATTCTTCTATACTCTTATGGACTTCTTGATGACTCTCTTGAAGTTGAGAAAGTTTACTACTTGCCTAAGCAGTGAAAAATACATTAGTATGTTATGTATTCAACAACAGTGGCATTCTCGCATTCTTGTTAAACACGGCAGCAAGACAGCTGCATATTACCCCACCAGAGCTGAACTTTTACTGACTCAAACTGGGAATTAACCTATTAAGCACCAGTCAAAAAGGCTTCTTTCATGAGCCAGTATGTTTTTTCCTCTTCTGAAAAATAATCTTTCTAGTTGATGTTCAACTCTTAGCCTTTCAAGAAACAAAAAAGGAGTCACATAAACCACAGTGAATACCTGGTTTATTTCTTCCTGTGTTGATTTTAAAGATTTTATTATTGTTTCAAGCTGCACTTTTCCAGCCTGGATACTCTGCTCTAGCTGAGTTTCCTCTTGCTGGAGGCGATTCAGCTCTGCTTTTGCTCTATTAAGGTCATCTTCCTGTGATTTTAAATCTGATTCCTGAGATTGAATCTGCATTTTTAGTGATGAAATCTGAAACAAAACATTACAAAAATCAGAGTGAAACATGAAATAAATGTAACTTAATAAATTATGAATTTATAATAAATAAGAAGTTGTAAAACAACCTATCAAATGCTAAGGAAGATAACAAGAACTTAATATGAAGAAGTGTACACAAACACAGAATATTCAGTAAAATCACAAAACTTTAATATTTTAAGTGACAGAAACACCACACTAATTATAAAGGTAATTAAAAGGTGTTTCTTAGATGGTTACCTTGTAATTTTCAGAACTTGGGTCTTTTTCCATTCAAACATTTATCAAGTATTATAAAATTGATTTTTAACTCTTGATTAAGAGTTAAAATTACACAGTTGCATTTGACTCTCCTCATACACTCTTACATGACCTCATACACTAAGTTTCAACGTGAAGATGACATGCTAGCTATATTGGCAGTTGTATGCCCTTGAAAACCCTCTTTTAACTCAGAATGCTGACACGAGGTTCACAGTGATCAAAATATGCACCACTGTCAATAGACTGTCAGGAAGAATGTTTCTCAACTACCCTAATAGGTCATTAGATAAACAATTTCCTCCAAAGAAAGACGAAATACACTTAAGCATGTCCAGAATTGACATACACTCACCACCTGTGTTTCTTCCTGGCATTTCTGCCTCACGTCATTCAGCATATCTTTCAGTTTGGCTTTCTGCTGGTCCATTTCATCCAGGCGGTCTTGGGCATCTTGTTTCTGAGCCTCTAGCTCTTGCAAGTTACTTGTCTCCCTATCTAAATCATTTTGCAGTTCCTGAGGAAAATCCCACAGTTTGTAACTTACATTTAGCTGTTGTCTTACAGGAGTGATCAATCACAGACAAAGAGGCTAACAGACTCCTCAAGATTTTCTGTCACACAGGCTCTTCCCTGCACGCGTACATTTTGTTTCTGCAGGAATTTGTATGCGACATCAGGAAACAAATCAGTGCCCACAAGATGGAAAGAGACCGTGACCCAGAGCATGTGTAATTGAGCTATCCTAATTATCAAAACCAATACTCTTTGAACAATGATTTCCTAAATTACAGTTAGTCGAGCACTACAAAAAAAAAAAGGACATTTCGAACTGTTCACATATCATCTTCTATTTATATTAACCAGCATCAGAAAAGAACTCTTCTAATGGAGAACAGAAAAATAAAGAACTTTCCATAAGTTAGAGGAAAATCCCAAGAAAGGAGGAAAAACTTGCCCAGAAACAACTTAAGGAAAGACAGAAGAAAGAATCCTTACTTCCCCATATATTATTTTAGATTAAAATGAAAACTAATAACGATAATCAGAGTTTTTACCTGAACTTCATTGGTTTTCTGTCTGATTGATTCTTCCTTTTCCCTAATGTCCTGCTCTAGAGAATATTTTTCTCTGTAAGATAAACAGACACATGTATTAATGATCAGTTAAATAACACAACACTGAAGTCACCTAGTAGAATCCAGGCTGGCTTTATGTAATTGACTACCTATCAGTGGCAGGTTTACCACTAACTTCAGTGACAAGCAATAGTAAGTGGACTAAAAGGAAACAAAAGTAACAGACACATCAGTACTATATACTTCATTGGTTCTCCAACTCCAAGATTTTCTGTTAATACTTCACAACTATTACCTCTGCAGCTGTGCAATTTCTTGGCTAATATCATCCAGTTCCTTCACCCCTGTAAATTCTCCTGATCCAACAGAGCTTGAACTATCCTGTTAAGAATGAAATAGTCTATTAAAATGCCACGTCGTAACAGAAGATCTTCCTTTAAAGGCTGAGGACAAAGATGGGACGCAATCCTCATTACACGCATTTGCAAAATTCTATGGGAGCCATCAAATTATCTGCAACAACCACTGAGCATGCCACACAATTCTACCTGCGAGACAGGAGAATTTTCTCTATGTCCTTTTAAGAGATGGGACATGCACAACATCAATGACTAAACTGCAGGCAATGGTAGAAGTAAAATTCAAAATTCAGCTCTGCTATAGGCAACAGCAAAGCTTCCAGGGAACTTAGTAAAATCAGATTAATTTCAGATGTCTTAAGCCTTGTCTCAACTTAATGCCCATTTCTGCAATTATACCTAACTTCCTGCAGCGCAGGGTATTTCTACAACCACCCAAGTGTACATCAGGCAAGGTTCAGAGTGTATTCTTCACCTTTTAGGCAAGAACATTGTCATCAGAAGTATTTAGGAAAGGATCTCAGCATTTGGTACAAAATTTGTCATTATTACGAGAAGGAGTGCTAGTTCTTTGAGAAAATCACTGCAGCTGAGCAAAAACTGCAACACTGAACTCACTGCTAGTATGACAAATCAGGAGAGCTACCATTTTTAAATAGTATTTTAAAAATAAAAAAGTACAGTTTGCTTACTTCGCTCACTTTGAGATTACTGCGATAACCACAGATAGTTTGGTTTTATTCAATACTAAAAAACCCCAAGAACTCAACCAATAAACCACAAACAGGTAGCATGGTAAAATGTGACATTTTTGTAGAAACAACAGGTTTAAATAAGTTAATTAAGTCCTTGCTTTTGGGTGAGCATTTCTTTTCTTAATATGCCATTGAGTAATCATAAATAACATCACCAGTCCAGAATAATCCTTCAAGCTAGCAAATCAAAGACTTCTAATACCACTTTTATATTTTCAGATAGATACAGATTTGCTGAGAGACCTGTACTGTATGCTGTACGGGATCATAATAAGGTGTTACCCAAGTTGATGATGAAATAACTTAAATGAAGCTGCTGTATTAGTTAAGATAACACAGTTCATTGTTCCACATGAACAGAAAATTAATCTGCGATATTCACAGTAGCATACAGTTTATCTCATGTAATATTCAACTGAACCACACTAGATGGAGAAAAAAAAAAGGATACCATGAACAGAATATAATGAAAAACTTAAAGCTCTTGAACCAAGGTGTATTTATTGTCCACAGCTTTGGAGAACTAGAACACGAGTAACATTAACATGCCAACACTGAGCTGCCTGTCAAAGAACGTCTTGACAGACCAATGCATCTTGAATTGTTGAGGGAAGCAATGTCACCAGGTCGACAGCCAATACCGTGACTTTACATTCATGCCAAGTGCAAGTGCCACAGAACACAAGAGCAAAGAGACAGGAGAAAGTGTAGAAATAAAAACTTTTTAAAGCTACAAGTGGCGTACACAAACAAATTTGCATTGTTTTGGACATCACAATTACTCACACGACGCATTTCTGTTAGTGCTGAGATCTCAGTTCCTACAGGGGTCAAGTAACCTGACAGAGTCTATAGGAAAAGGATATAGGAAAAACCTTAAAAGGACCAGAGCAACAGCAACAATTAAAATATATTTAAAGGCTCAAAAGCTTTCTGGTTAGGGAAAGTAAAAAAAAGTAAAGGAAAATATTATACAATTTATAGAAAAGATGAATGTGTTGACAGAGCAGAAGTATTTACTCATTTAAGTTTCAGAAATATACTAACACACTATTAAGGAAAGGAACAAAGTAGATGCTACAGTAAAATGGTGTCAGTAGTGATGGATATAGGAGTATGGACTGTCATGCTACAAGGGATGACTCAACCACTAATTCCCAACACTAGGAAGTCATCAATTTCCATTTAGCCATAAAAAAATTATTACATTTTCACGAAAGGAATTTGGTACTGATCACAGTCAGGGACAGGCTACTAAACCAGCTTTTAACAGCTGCTTTTAACAGTTCCCTGAAGTTAAAAAAAACCCCAACTTCCCTATGACAGAGGAGTATTTTTCATGCTAGGCTTTTCTCAGCATTATTATTGCTTTATTTATGGAATATTCTACTGCATTCTTCTTTACTTACAGTCTTGCTTTGTTAAAAGTTTATGCGTATTTTCAAATGTTAAAGAATTTTTAAGAGGAGGTAAAAAGTATTTGGCAATTCTTTACCACAACATTAAAAAAGTGTTACAAAATTAACATTCAAAGCCCTCTACTTTCAAAGCACGTAAGCTCAGCATTCTCTACAAATAATCAATGACTTACCTGTATGGGAGTGTTCCTCTCTGTGGGAGGGATCATATCTGGGGAGAGCACTTGCGGAGGATCAATCCCTTTACTGACCTTCTGTTGAATGAGATACATTGCTAGTGCAAACTGATCTTTGCTTAGCTTTCCCATCTGTCTTGTGTCTGCCAAAGCCCTGGTAAAAAATAGATCATACTTATAAACAGAAAAGCTTATCTCTCCTCTACCACCCATACACATGTAATTTTCTTTTGCTTATGCCTCATCAGAGCTTGTTTATTCTCGTGAAAGAGCTCCATAAACAGAGCAGTATTTTATTAGACATATTTAACTTTATAGAGCAGTGGTGCTGGAGAAAATATTTAGAACACTAAAACTTCAAAAAAACAATCAAAATTCACAGACTTGACCTATATCCTCTTCCCAGAAAAGCAGAGTATTTATTTCTCCTTTTTTTTTTTCATATAGCCCATGTATTGTAGCACAGCAACAGGACAAGTAAAAGAGGTTGGGGGCTTTTTTTTCTTTTAGTGTTAGGATTACAATTCTAGCTGGATAACCTGACTTCCCAGATCAGCAAGTTACAAAAATGCAGCTACTAGGGAATTCTTACCATATATGTGCTAGGAGATTCTGAGACAGACCTGAATGCATAAAAATGTCCTTTACTTCTTGGCCACTCACAAAACCATCCATGTCTGTGTCTGTTTTTAAGAAAATTTCATCATATCGCACTTTTTCGGACATTGGTACTACCCAATTCACAGATGGCTGCAAAACAAAGTTTTATATTTCAAAAGATAAACAGCATTTATCAATACATTGAGTATATATGACATTATTCGGGGTTGGATGTTCTTAAAATCTTGCACAATCAAATCTGATTCCCCTTTTCCTCTAAATGTTTTATCTTAATACTTTTAATCTGGATTATAAATACTGATAAACAGGTATTAATCAGTTGAAGAATATTCATTCTTTGGAAATATGGACTCAAGTAAGCATACTAAGTCCTCGGACTAGTAACACAGTAGCTTTAGAAGCTAAATTAATTATTTCTTTGGCATTAAAACAGATACATTAATAAAACCCTTCTGTGGATTCACTTTCTATGGAAAGTGAAAATTCCCCAAGATTTGCTACCTCATGTCACTCTGACTATAATTGACCTGTTTTTCCTCCATTCTTCCAACTCTTATCAGTCTCATTTCATTCCCTCCATCCAAATCACTCAACAAACATTTTCAGAAAAATGCTCACATGAGGCAGAAATAAAAAAGCAGATTTGTTTTTTCCTGCAATTTACCAATAGAAAAAAAAAAAAAAAAGAAAAAGGAAACAGGGGATGGGAAGATTTGTACCTGTGCTTGTTTGATGCTGTGCTTGGGAGACAAACTCCCTGTGCTGTTCAGACTGTTGACACTACCATGAGATGGGGTAGAACGGAGGCTGTCTTTTGGTGGAGGACTTGCAGGGAGAACAGGAACTGCACCAGGAAATACAGGCGTCTTCTTTCTTTTAGAAGGTGGTATGAGAGAAGGGGGTAATAGTGAAGGAACTGGCTCTTTCTCAAGAGCTCTATAAACCAAATGCATTGCCTGCAAAGGCAAAAAGGTCAGATAATATTAACAATTAGAAGAAAAAGTAACAAGACTTTCCAGTGTCAGTCATTTACATATTAGTAAAACAAAGACAGTAAGATTAGAGATGTAAACCAGAGCAGACAATTTTGAATGTAATTCCTTAATCTTGATGACACAGGCAAGAGGCAGTAGATGGATTTGAGAAAGATCATTTAATAACTCCATCTGAACAATGTAATAGAACAGTTGACTGTAGCAGAGAAAGCTGCAAAGCCCTTCAGAAAAAACTGAGCGATTTGCTCTGGCAGACACACTGTGAATTGAGAATTTAAAGCAACCTACCACAGCAAATTCATCCTTGTCCAGGTGACCATCTTTATCAATATCACTGAGATCCCAGACCTATTGATAAAAACAAGGATTTAGAGAACAATTTACATTTTGTGGTTTTGATGTTAATGGTCATTATATTAAGCATGCTCTCTAAAGACTCCTAATAGATTTTTTGCAAAGATCATATTAGTTATATTAGACCTTGCTAAACATTCTCTGGTGCAACAGACTGGATTAGAGTTTTCTGACAACGTGAATCAATGCTGGCTCTACAAATTCTGGATACAACACAGGCAAGGTTTGCGTCTTTCTAAGTTGCAATTATGGAGGCATCAAGCTGACTGAAAACATCCAGCAATGGCTTTCAGGATTGTCCAGAGGGTGTGGGCTAGCAGACTGTACAAATTTGCCTTATAAATTAAAATATTTTAGAGAAGTCAATGCATTTCTAATTTGCATTCCATTCCTAAATTTCTAGCTTTCATTTTTAGCTTGTCCTGGTTTGAGCTAAATAGAACTAATTTTCTATTTAGTGGTTTTACTTTTGAGCTCAGTCTCTTGTAAGTGGCTGTACTTGCTGAAACTAACGGCATGTTTTTCTGAACAGCGTTCACTTCTACAAGTGATAGTGCTTGAATGTTATGTAAACATCACAAGGCTGCTGTCTCACCATGGGTGCCGTAGCTGCACCTGTGGGGAGGAGCGGACCCAAAACTGACCAACTAAATATTCCATCCCACGTATGTCACACTGGGTATAAAGCTGAGGGATGACAAGGGTCTCGGCCCCTTCTCTGCCCTCTGCTCTTCTGCTCCTGCAATGGCCGAAGTGTGAGCAGAACCCTGTTAGTTCATCTGCCTCCAATCCTGATCTGTGTGTTCCTGAATCCAATTCCTGCATCCTGCTCCCACTTGCTACTGGGTCCAGACTGGGACTTTTCCAGTGCCCTGCTCCGCAGAGCCTCTGGTGGCATAATCATCATTAGAAGGTGTGGGGGGAGGATTTTATATTTGTTTTATATATATATATATTTGTACATATTCCATTACTTTCCCCTGTTTACATTATTATCCTATAGGACTAGTATTATTGTTTCATTAAATCTGTTAGTTCTATTTTCCAACCCATAAAGTCTCTCTCCCTTGTTCTTCTCCCTTCTGGGGAGGGGAGAGGGGTTAATAGAGAGTGTCTGTCCAGGATTTAGTGGCCAGCCCAGCCCTAAACCACGACACAGTTAAAAATATACATCCATCCCCCTGAAGAAGAGAATTTAAGGATTTAGCAACTTTAGTTCATTGTTAGGTCAAGTAGAGCCAGCCAATGAAACATGCAGGAGATTTAAGAAGGATACAAAACTTTGTGCCCTCTAATACTCAGCCATCAACGAACACCACTTAATCATCAGTATGACTTGGACACAGCATGGTAGAGCAGACAGAATGCTAAGACTGAGGCTCAACCATCTGAACTCCACTTCCAGCTTTACCACTGGCCCCCTGTACATATTTAAGCTAGCTGATTAGTCCTTTGCCCATTTCCTCAGTCTCCTATCTCGCCCACAAACTTTTCTGGAAGTGGAAAAAGCTTCCTGCATTTCTGTAGTGACAGTAACAAGAAAAGAACATAAAGCCTTCAAGACTGTGTACTTCACAACATTCAAGTACAGAATTAAAACAAGTCACACTTGGATTCTGTAGATAATATAGAGAAAGAGGCAGTTCTTCCTGAAGAGATGAAAGTATATCATGCAGATACAGCTCTTACACAGAATGCATTCATTCATATCAATATGCAAAACAAAGAATACATATTTTAAATGGAAGCAGACAAATAAGATTTGCTTCTCTTGCAAATATGCAACCGATGCACTAAACTCAGATCTCAGTAGTACTTATAAAAATACATGGGAAAAAATACTTGACAATTTGACAGCTACAATAAACTGCGATGTTTTAAAGTGTTCTCTTGTACAAACAGCAGATAGATTGAATGATATGCCTAATAACTTGTATTTGGAAAAATGACAAAACAGTGTAATATACTATAAAAGCTATAATGGTTTAGGAGAGCTTCTTCATGTTTTTAAACAATTAAAATCAAAATGTCTAGCTCTTAAAATGAATAGAGAGATAACGAAGCCAATCTATCCTAGGGCCCAAATTACTACTACTATTATTATTATTTCTAAGTGGAAGACTTCAGAGCCTACTTAATGCTCTTGCTATACAGCATGCACTTGATGTAAAATCTCAGCCAAAACCTGATCTATGTTGATAAGTTACATTTAAATATTTAACATTGCAACTACGAGAAGCTAAATAGAGAATAGCTGAATCTAAACAGCATACTTACCCTTCCTAGGATATCAAGAGGTAGCTTTGAATTCATCAGTACTGGTTTTACTTTGTCTCCTGAAAGTAAACCATTTACTGGCAAAAGGCTTTCAAAAATACCATCAAACTTTGCTTTTTCTTCCACCTAGTTGGTAAGAAATAGCCTGAATAAGTAAAAAAGTGTGCCTGTGTGAGTGTTGAAAATGAGATCTTGCAAGAAATTAAGACTGGTCAGTCAAGTATTCAGTTTAAATTTCCAAGCTTCCTTGCAAGTGCCACCATGCTGTATTTAAACATAACCCCAAGGAGCTAGATTTAGGAGCTTAATTTCAAAGCTAAGGTTATGATAACTAAGAGATTTTAACATGTGGTATACAGGATGCATTTCTGTAGTGTTGTAAAAGAACAATGCATTCTGACTAAAACACTGCTGGCCAGATTTTAAACCAACTTTGACAAACTCTGTAAAACTAAAAACTAATCTTCCCAAATAATTTGCTTCCCACTTTAATGTACAAGCAAGTAAAAAGATACAACAAATCAGCATTCAAAATAATTTTACTAAATTTCTACCTTTTGGAAAATGTTTGCATTTGAAAATTAACCAAACACAAATATTCCCATGTATGTATAAAAAGTTACTTTTTTCCCAATGATATACAGTGTGTGTATCACTGAATACTAATTACAACATACGAACTCAAGCTTTAAATTAATACTTTGGGATGGATTTGGTGAAATGCTTTGCCGTTCTCAGTGGGGATCCTTTATACAAACATGAAAGTGCCTACTATTAGGGTTCTGGAAGAAATCCAGGCAGAAGATTAAAATTCATTGTGTCTTGAAAACATCACACCAGGGGTTGTCAAAGGTTTGTTTAATACTTATTTCAAATATAAAACTACAGCTCAATATTCTCTATTGTGCACAATTCTGTCATCAGAAAGGGAGGGCTTCTGAAATGGGAACTGTATTTGATACAGAACTCTCACTGGGAAAATTACAGACAAGGAAAATATTTACTTTTAAAGAATGGATGGAATGTGTTGTCTTTTACACTTACCCTAACAGCCCAGTGAGTCTCTGTTGAAGGTGGTGTGACCAGCAAAGGACTGCTAGTGTCATGCTAAAAGTTAAAGAATTTTTTATTTATATGTATATATAAATACAGACACTTCTGCCTCTAACCCTCACTAATTGCTTTAAGAGATATATACACGAAGCTCAACTACACTGAAAAAAGGAAAAAAAGCTGCACATGTACCCAAATTAAAAAAAAAAAAGAGTCATACAGATTTATACTATCACAGTACTTCGATAAGGACATTAAGAAACCAAACACAGAACTAAGACAAGCTAAAGGACGTTCCACAGTAGCTACTGCAGGCAAAGCTGCTGTCATACCCTTGACTACACATTTCTGTTGACCTAGCCCATAAATAACCTTTAAAAAAAAAACCTGAAATTTTATTTTTCAGAAGTTTAGAGTCTAGCTACAACAGCTTCCCGAGCAAGCTGACTGTCGTTAAACTTGCATAAGTTCTGCAGTCCAGGAAGGGGCTGGTAGATGTTACTCAGGAAGACAGGACTACAGCACCCATGACTGCAGTTGTCTTAAGGAACAGTCTGACAGCAGCCTGAAGTCTCAGAACAGTGACATTTATGAAACAGAAGATTATCCCAGCATTCCAACTGCAGACTTAGTTCTCGTATAACACACACATACATTTAGGTATATATTACTTACAAATTTAGGAGGTGGCACAGTCAAGTTCAGACTGGTGAGGTTAACATCGTGGCCATTCTGTGCACAGGCTACAAGGCGCAATGCGACATAGAAACCCTACAAACAACAGTGTTTTCTATTTAAAAAAGCAACTGGTTTAAATCAGTCTCCAATTACCCATTTATGATTTTTACTAACACTGTGCATGTGCGACTCAGTGAAGTATGGAAACAACAGATGTACAGCCCCATTCAGTTAACTGCACAGTGACAACCACTCCACTGCTTTAAAGATGATTCAGGAAAAACTTTACATGGAACAAAGAGCAGAAAACTTCAAAGCTTGTTTTTAAGAAGGACTCTCCCATTATTAAGTAAATCTCAACATTTTCCTTAAAAACTAATGATGTTTTTAAAATTCTCCATATCTACAAGTAACTTGGTACTTGATATTCCTAGCCATTCTTAGTAATGCTAGTTGTATCTTTTCATGTAAGAAATACTTCTAAATTAAATCTTAAAATCATAGTTTGGATTCGTGAAAGACCTAATGACACTGTATCTATACATCACACACACTGATTATTTACAAAACAAAAGAGACAGAAAATTAGATCAAAACTTCCCCAGCAGCCTCACTAAGTAATATACTCAGATAGAAGCAGTGCTAGGAAAAACACCCGTAAACAAAACTTTCAAAACAGCAACCCAAGGATAACTGCTATTAATTTCAGGGTTTTCTTGAAACAAAGCTAATCTATGGAAGGTAACATAAAAGGTCCACAGACACATTCCATTTACCTGTTTATCCAAGTATCCTTTACCCTCCGGGTCAGCCAAATCCCATATCTGTGGAGATACCAAATAAAAGTCATTCTTATTTAAATCTCCAGTTAACAAGAAAAATGTTATACGAAAGACAATTTTTCCTTCTAGATTCCTATAAAACTCAGAGCAATACCTGAAGCTGTTACCAATCTGTGGTTAACCCAATGTTCAAAGCATCTGATTTGCATTACACCAAATTCCTTTTTGAAAATCTGTTCTGCTCAACGTTAGCTTTAAACAACTGTGCAAATAAATGCTGCATTATCAAATTCCTTCAACTTACTTTTCCAAGGATAATATCAGAGAGACCAGATTTTTTAAGAAACAGTGCAGCTTCACTTGCCCCAACTCTCCCCGTGTATGTTGGATCTACCTGAAAGATACAAAAATTCATTCAGTGGAAGCACATCTGTCATGAAAGCAGAGATAAAGAATGAAACTTCTCGTCTCTAGGTCGAAAGGATTTATACAAGCATGCATTAACACTCAGCAGAGAGAATCTACAGAAGTTTAGCACTGTAATGGGGAAAAAAAAAGACAGGAAAATTCTAGGGAAGAGGAAACTGCACTTTTTAAAAACAAAAACAAAAACCAAAAACAACTACCTGTTTGTAGTAAGTTTCGTATAATGGATTCCCAGTAGAAAACTGAAAAACAAGAAGAGACGTTAAGAAAACAAAGAGTGAACTGCAATCATTGATAGCCCAACTTCAGGGACCGAGAGAAAAAAAAGTGTATAGTGCTTTGTGTATTACTTCTATCAAAACTACACACTGGTAAGGCAATCTGCTGTGTTCCAAACTGGAAACTTGAAAGTGTGGGTAACAGCAAACCCCAAAAACTCGCAGCCAACAGACTACTGTCACATTTCAAAACTTCTTATTCACCAGCATCCATATGTATGCTTGCACTTTTAATTAACAACACTACATGGTAATGAGGTTTTGTAGAACAGCTTTGAACTATTTGCCAAGGAATTTCAGGTCACACTTTGAGAAAGGCTGATATCAAAGACAGAGTTTTCAACATAATGCTGACCTGACCACCTCCTGCATTGTACACATACTTATGGAATATTTTCAGCAGACAATTATACACACACAGAACTGTGGTATCAAAATGTGTCTGTGTTTATGCATTTTCACGACTAGGATCTTAAACTGAAACAAAGTAAAAAAATACAATGAGTGGTTAATTAACAAATGTCACAATTCCCTGACAACGCTGTTTGAAGACTTCAGCTTGGTGCTGTCACTGATTTACACCAAAGCAGCAGACAAAGGCAGGCCCTGCTTTTTCGTGCCCTGAAAAAGCAGATTCCTCTTTCCTCTTGCTGACATTCCAAGCAAATGGGAACTGAAATGCCAGACGAGGTAGAAGCCCTAGCACTCATCTTCTCACTTGCCTCCTACAACTGCCACACAAGTTCTGGCCACGTGCAGGTCATACCTCAACACTATTCTCCAGCCTCAATGCCAAAAGAAAAACTTTACAATCCTTAGAGGGGTCAAAAGCCTTAAAAAACAAGCAACAAAACAACCCGAAAAAATACTGTTTAATGACCAAGATGCAGAGATGTCGAAACATCCCAGAACCTACTTAGGACAACTGCTCCCCACCTACAGGACACAAATCAGACGCCTGACGGACGATTATTTCACAGTAACTTTGATCATTGGTATGTCACCTCCCAAACGCTACCCGCTTCCTTGTCATCCACGTGGACTTCCAGATGTTCTGCCTAAACTGAGGGGAAGGCAGACAGGAATTTGATAAAAGGAAAGACCAATGAAGAGCATGAAATTTTACTTTACACAAAGAGAATCTTCCTGTAAGTTTACAATAAACATACAAATCTTGATTTAAGAAGCTACCCAAAATAACTAAGCCCTATTAATCAAAAGCAAACACCAAGCTCTTTCAAGATCTAAGTGTTCTACTTGGCTAGAAAGATTATGCATTTTCAGAAGAGCTTTCTAAACATCTTAGATGTACTTCGCTTCTATCCATCAACAAAATAAACCACTGTGACAATCCTACATCAGAACACTAGAAGCTCTCGCTCTTCCAGAAGCTGGGCAGAAGCTCAGAGGAAAGCCTCGACCATAACTAAGAAACGTGACTCATCTTCTTGCTGGCTTCTACACAATCAGCACAGGTAAGCACTGCGTTCCTGTCCAAAGTAGGAAACACATAATTCAGAGAAAAGGTGGAAGTAGGAAATAGCCTGTGCAACTCTGAATAAAATCTAGTACGTTTTAGCCCGCTATCACCCAACCATATACCTCTCACTTATCCAGAGACTCAGATAAGCCAGCCAAAGACCAGCTACAAGCTCCTCTCGTTAATTTGGCGAGTATCCTAGAGCATGCAGAGACTGGATTCATACCAAGATACAGAGCAACTCGCTCCAGCAGCAGTGCTGAATGATCTCATCCCATCACCACTCTTGCCATCCTCATTTGGTATCATCAGCCCTGACAGACACCTGACTTACCTGGC